CATGACAGTCAAGTTTCACCGGCCAATCAGGGCCTCCAAGGAGAAGGGTACTTATCCTTTCTTGGTGCTGTGCTTCAGGTTGAGCTCCATTGCTGAGCAAGCAGCCTTGAGTGGTCTGTGTGATGTGCTTTGACCTCTGCTGCTGGATGCCTTAGTGGAGTGCTGACAGGCTGAGCTACTAAATCGCAATATGGTGAGCATGTGAAACCTGCTCCTAACTTGAAGGAGAGGTAGTCTGAGAAGCTGGAGTCCGGGTGGTGGGTCCTCCCCTCTGGGAGTTGGAAACTAGCAGGCCCCTGTGAGGGTCCCTGTGGTCTTAGCTACTAGAGGTACTCAGCGGTGGCATCTGAATAACTTCATTACAGGAGCTGCATCTGCACAAACGGCTTGGAGCAAGGGCTTGCATGTAGAAACATCCCTAGCAGGATGCCAAATTCGGAAAGGCCTCTTTTCTGGTATCTTCTAGATAGACTTTGGGACCTGGCCATATAAGATCCATTTGGACTTAACTTTCTGGCGATTTTAAATGCCATCTCATGCACTGGGTAGCACTCCAATTTTAAGCTGTGATGAAAAGAATACAGTCTATGATGTGTTTTCCAAGGTTTGGAAGATAGTCAGACTGAGTAGACTTCAGCTGAGAGAGGGACTGCCTCTAAAACACCCACAGGTAAGTAGCACAATAAGGGAGGATCTTAGAGGTTAGGATGCTAGGATACACCTGTTTCCTCACCGGGATTATCAGGAAATACTGCTGCAAAACATAACAAAGGAGACAACCATGCCGGGTCACAACGTACATTAAGGTCTGGTGTGTTATAAAGGCATGGTCAGTAAAGTTGATGAGATTCCCCTGTTCTCAGTGGGCATTATTGTTTGATTAGATTCCCCCTTTAGTTTGTCCCATTGTATGGTTGATTCTGCTGACTTCATGAAAGTCTCCCCCTCTTTGCATTTTCCCCTGTAGGTAGTATACAAACTGCTATTCCTCAGAAGCTTCCTTAGCATAAGCCTTATCTCCTGGCTAACCACCCCACCATTTATATTTTCTATCTTCTATTTTTCTGTCTTTTGCACCCTCTAAAACCTTCCACTTAGGACTGTGTCACTGAAGAATGGACTGCTCTTTCAGGGTATTGGTGTGCTTAAGAAATATTTGGTGAAGCCAGGCAGTGGTGGCACACACCTTTAATCCCAGCACTTGGGAGCCAGAGGATTTCTGAGTTTCAGGCCAGCCTGGTCTATGGAGTGAGTTCCAGGACAGCAAGGACTACACAGAGAAAACCCTGTCTCAAAACAAAACAACAACAACAACAACAAAAAAGAAAAAGAAAGAAAGAAATAGTTGGTGAAATATATTCTCTCTATAAATCTCCTCACCTCCAAGTGGCTAAACCAAGTAGTCTTCATTCCATCCTTAAATGACTCACAGCATTACCTAGAGTGTAAATGTAAAAGAGACATAAGGATGACAGCATATGTGAATGCAAACTCTCTCCTGGCCTGGGTCTTCTTTCAGCATTAGCCAGAGCTAGGTGAGTGGTATTGTTACAGGCATTTTTTCTCTTAGTTAATACTTCAGTTGTGTCTTAGCTGATTTCCTTCCTGGGAAGACATTGATTCTAGAACAGCTGTATTTTCAGCCCTGTAGAAAAATGGTTCTGACACAGACTATGTTGCCTGAGGGGCACTGTCACTGATCCCAGGGTGTTGCTCCCCAGGGCAATGACTTTGCTGCTTTCTTCTTGATTAAAGTTTCTAATTTTTTTTTTTGTTTTTTTGAGACAGGATTTCTCTGTGTATCTCTAGCTGTCCTGGAACTCACTCTGTAGACCAGGCTGGCGTCGAATTCAGAAATCCTTCTGCCTCATGATTCTGAGAAAATTACTTCCATGGTACAAGAGAGTTTCTATGATACAGAGGTGTTTGTTGTGTGCATTGTGTTGTGCTGTAGATAGGGCAGATTCTACATTTTGTGCCATAAGTCATGTGACAGGAAGCAGACATAAAATTATTGCTCAACTCTTTCTTTTGTGTGAGCATCAGAAGGTCTGGTTTTGACTGAGACATAGGGTCCATGAGGGGTTATACAGCCATAGCCCACCTTTCTGATCGCTTCTGTTTTCAGACAGAGCTCTAGAGAATTGGACGTCTCTGTCTAGAAGAAAGATCAGAAGTAGGTTGAGGACCAGAAATATAACGATTTTGGGGTTACTGAGTTATTTTTCCTGGGAGTTTGTGTCTCTATTTTTTTCTAAAAAAAAAAAAATACAATCATAGTTACCGTGGTTGAAATTCTAATTTTTCCTGGCTGAGATTCCTCATGGCTTTTGACGAAGGCTTGAATATATTTGAATCTTTTATTCTTAATTTTTTCTCTGCACACAGCTTACATGGACAAGGTCAGTGGAAGATGCAGCAGAAGGGGTAACCATGACTATTGAGTCTCAGATAACAGTTACTAGGGACGCTCTCACAGGCCTCTGACCTGCTCCTATAACTAACATCTAAGTACTGAGCTTCAGGTTCTCAGGATTAATTTATTCACTTCTTCATTTATTTAAATTTTTGTTGTTAATAATCTGTGAAATTCTTTTCCTTTATTGGATGAAAAGAACTCTGTGATCTGTGCAGGCCACTTAGGAAGCATTTGGGTGACCTGGGTTCAGGTTCCAACACCCATGTTAACTATGTGTTACTCCAGATCCAGAGGATGTGACACCCTCTTCTCTGGTGTATCACTGGCACACACATGAAAAACATTCTCTCTTACACATAACATCATACACATGAAAATAAGGACAGATATGTTTTTAAAAGTGCTAATATCTTATGATGCAATTAAAGCCAAACAAGGAAGTTTATATGTAGAATATAAATCATACACTATTTTCCCTAATCTGTTATTTTGTACTTTTTAAAGTTTCCATTTCATAAATATGGTATACATTTAACCTCTGATCATCATCAATCATAGGCAGCTACATGGTTTCTTTTTCTTTTTTTTAATATTAATTTAATTTTTTAAAATTGTTTTTTGTTTTTTGAGTTTTTTTTCTTTTTTTTTTGTTAGATATTTTGTTTACATCTCAGTTGTTATTCCCTTACCGCATTAACCCACCCCCTGCGCAGGAACCCCCTGTCCCATTGACCCTCCTCCTGCTTCTCTGAGGATGTACCCCTACCTACCTCCCCACTCCCACCTCCCCACCCTCGAACTCTCCCACACATGGCATCCAGCCTTCTTTGTACCAAGGATCACCTTTCCCACCTATACCTGACAGGGCCATCCTCCCTTACATATACAGCTGAAGCCATGGATCACCCCCTAAGTGCTCCCGGGCTGGTGGTTTAGACACCAGGAGCTCTGGTTGGTGTTTTGTTGTTGTTGTTGTTGTTTTGTTTGTTTGTTTGTTTGTTTTTCCAATTTTTTATTGGATATTTTATTTAGCTACATGATTTCTATGTCATCCTACTAGATACTCTTTTTTCTTAATAGAGTAAGCTATTTTTAGTAGACAGCCCTATTTCTTCCAAATTTGAAATATCAGAGTGCTTAATCTCTTCAGTGTGTTGGAAGAGCCTCCGCCCCCAATCCATCTCACATTATTGTCAAAAGAGAGAACCAGAATGAACAGGATGAGTGCTGGCCAGTGATTTTGTCATTTTTATCCTGAATATAATCTGGCAGTTCTTATTTAAGTGACCATGCTATATTCTCAGATCTGTTTTTGTGTTTCCTTTTTCCAGTGCTGCCATCTATGATGTATGATTCATAATCTATAATCTAATGATATTGTTGTTTGTCTAGGAAATGATAAACTTTCACATCTTTGGTCTTCTGATAATTTCCTATATTATAAGTGCCGTGAGTTTATGTTAGTTTGGGAACTTTCTGTGGAGAAACAATTTTTGTTTTGTCTTCTGACCCTAAAGGGCTGCCTCCTCATTTCTTGGAAAATCTGTGTTTTCCAATTCTTGCAAACGTCAGTGTTTGAATTTTTTAATCCTTAAATGACTGATATGGATTTGGATTCTTAACTTGGTTCTGATTTATTATTATCTCTGTGTCCCAATTTGCTTAAAGTGTCAGCACTTCAGAGCCTACAAACCGTTAAGGAAACTACAATTGAGGGAGTGCCCCAATCAGAATGGCTGATGCTTTGCGAGAGAATATGGTGATTGACAATTGAGTAGTGAAGGCTCTTCCACTGTGTGTGGAAGAATCTCTAAGGAAGTGGGCCTGTGCTGGATGAGAACGTCAGTTTCTAGCATAAGCCTTCCAAATAATGGGATATTGTCTGAAATTACCAGTCAAATAAACCTGTGTTTTACTTGAGACACGTGATTATAGGCTATAATTACAACAGTTCTAACATGCAAGTTAGAAAAAATACAATAGTAAGTAAATCATGACGTTGCAGCTGGACAGAACCTAGGACTACTGTCATTTGCAAGTATGTTGAAAATATAGGATCTTTAGAGGGCAAAAGGCATTGAAATCTATATTCATCTTAATTAACTGTCCTCAGAGAACCCTGAAGACTGGCTTGTTAAGAGGAATGCATCCAAAGGAAATCAATGTCATAGGATTTCAGTGGAAAATAGACTCCATGAAAAATTGAGCTACAGGTCATTTGTGTGATATTTTGGCCTCAAGTCCTCATTTTGCCCATTCCCTGAGATACTAAGTAGGTCAGGATTTCAAAGTCAGAGGTCGATACCCTAGATTGAATAATATATCTTTAGGATGGTTATTACTAGTGACTCATTCAGGAGAACAATGTAAAAACTCAACAAGTAGAGTGGAAATGAATGCACGTTTGTGGGTTATAGAGAAGAATAACATCAGGTAGTTCCAGATGACTCTCAGGTGCTGAAACAAAAGCAAGAATTGAATGCAAGGACATTATCATAATTGAAGAAAAGATCTTTGCTATGGACTAAAAATCTTAGAGTTGCCCTTAGGATAGCACTCTTTCCTTCAAACTCTGCAATTAATGGTGGCATTAGGCATCCTGAGTTCTAGTCCCAGTAAACAACTTCATGAAAAACATGCTACAAGTGTTGTCTACCTGTGTTCGGGGGTCCATCCTAATTTAGAAGCCAAACTCCACATGACCCCCTTATGTCCTCTGGACTCTGGAAAAAAGAATGATGCAAAATTTAATGTCAAGGATACCTGGTCTGTGGCTCAGATCAACACCGTTCCAGCCATCTCTGTGTCTAAGTGTCAGAGCCCCAGTTTGACCCCTTAGTGAGTTCATTGTTTAAAGCTATGAGGATGAATCATTATTTGCATTTTTTGACCACAGGATGTTGAGATACACAGCATATGAGATATTTGCTATGGAGAGCTGCATATCCAGAGTAGTAGTAAACAAAAGAATGGAAGTATGAGAAGTATCCCCTTAAAATTGAAACCACGTGCATTGGAGACAGAGCCTCAGGACTTGCTGTTTATCCTGCTGACTTCTTGCCTTGCTCCATCTACCCAGAGTACCTGTTCCTGTCTATTGGAATGGGAAAGGGCATTCTGTGCCATTTAATGTAGAAAATATAATTTGTTTTCAGACTTTAGAAGGTGTGACAGTCCAAAGGTTGCCTTTAGGGTCAAAAGAGACTTTGAACATTTGAGCAGTATATGTTTTTCAGATTTAATGGTCCTTGAACTTAGATTAAATACATTTTTACCACGGAATGACCATGAGCCTATAGTGATCAAGGTCAGAGCATAGTTAGGTGTATCAAAGAGAATCCAGGTGGCATGTTGTCTTAACACTTTCTCTTCTTGGTGTCTTTCAATTTTGAGAATATGGAGGATTTTGTAGACGAAGCCTTTCTACTTATGATTCTTTATTGAGATGGGATTTGAGTGTCTATAGACTTAATCCATTTCCTCTTCTAGCAGTTTATTCTCTATTGACTGAAAATCATCCTTCAGCTTCCTTCTCATGTCCTTCCCTCCTGTCATGCCTTCCCCGTAATAGACTCTTTTCTTAAATCACATAAGATGCAGTAGAAGAGATAGCTACCTATTACTGAGAAGAGATAGTACCTAGTACTGAGATGTTTTGCCTGACTAAGGATTTCATATTTTGAAATTAGTTTTCTGTGTTTCAAGACAGTATTTCTCTGTGGCCCACAGTGTCCTCAAGATAGGCCTTTAGGCCAGACAGACATTGAACTTAGAGATCAAATAGATTGTGGCTTTAAGTGTTCAAATCAAATGTGGACCAACATACCCAGCATTTTTTTTTTTATTGACAGATGGTCCTATAATGTACATGTCTTTCTATGTCCAGCATATGCTTTTGTACTAAACTTCACCCACATCTTGATTTTTGAAATTTTGCAGAAATTATCATTCTATTGCCCAGAATGGTATGTATTCATGACACCTGTCGTGTTTGGTGTGACTTTCTGTTAGGAAGACTATGAGTCTTTTGCCAGTATGCATGATTATACACCTCATGTGTGCCCAGTCCTCACAGTAGTCAGTAAATGGCCTGAGACTTCCTGAAAGTGGAATAATGGATAGGTGTGATTCCCTTGTAAGTAGAAGGAATTGAGCTCATTTATTTCCAAAGAATGTAGCATATAGCCTTTTAACTACTACTTCTTAAGTTCCGTGCAGGTGCACTAACAGCCCCCAATCTTACTTCATTTGGATCCGTGGATGAAAGTTTTCTACACACAAACACACACACACACACACACACACACACACACACACACACTAATGTTTTGATCTTGCCTCATGGCTCAGTGTCTGGGCTTCGCAAGTATACCACAGCTACTGTGTCCTTTCCTTTACTCCTTGCTTAACACTCTCAATCTGTGCTCCCTTTAGTTGTTCAGTTACCTTCTCATTGCTCAACACCCTAATTCTGCTCTCAGCTTAGTTGTATTTCAAACTCCCACCTGGGGAATTGGTCAGTGACCACTCCATTGGAGATCTCACATGGCTGGTGACTCTCTTTCCCTCCAAAGCATGGTGGATCTCCCTTTCCTGCCTCATTCTTCTCTTCCCTTATGTTAGGGAATCTGAAAGTCCCACCTCTTCTACTCATCCATTGGCTGCTCCCAGCTGTATTGATCAATCGAAAAACAGTTAGAGACAAGGACCTTCAGAGTTTACAGGCAGTTTCCCAATCAGAGCATCAGAGCCATGCCCTTCATTTTACTGCTGAGGTATATCTCCTGCCCTGTGTTTTTTACAATCTAATCAACATTAACATTGGTAATATTTTTTATGTCTAATTGTAACTGTTTAAACATATATTCCTTTAGGTAATATCTTATTAATGTTATAGTTTGAACCAGTGTACCTCAGGTTTCTGGAAGATGAATACAGAACTGGATTGTATGTATCATTTTACTTAAGAATTTAAGTAAAGGCCTGGAGAGATGGCTCAGCAGTTGTTAGCTCTGACTGCTCTTCTAAAGATATTGAGTTTAATTCCCTGCAACCACATGGTGGTTCACAACTATCTGTAATGGGATCTTATGCTCTCTTCTGGTATGTCTGGAGAAAGCAACAGTGTACTCATCATATATATAAATTAAGAAATAACATCTTTAAAAATGTTAGAACTTAAGGAAAAACCTATGTATTCTTTCTATGTTTCCAGTTTGGTTGGTTAATTCCGACAGGGCTTACTTAATATATACTTAGTATATTCCTTTGGCTGTCCTAGCACTCATTGTATACATCACACTGGTGTCTGACTCAGTGTGATACTTCCGGCTCTGTCTCCTGACTGTAGTGTAAAAGGCCTAAGCCAGTAGACCGAGCTTGGTTACTGATTTTTATAGTTAGTAATTGTTAATGTTGATACAATTTCTATGATATGTGGTAAGCACTATTGATCTTGTAGAGCTTGTCTGTTCTTTATATCTGTAATTGACATTTCTCTAGAAAGGCTGGATCCTATTCAAAGGGCTGAGAAATGACAGGGGTGAACCTCATTATTAAATTTCCTTCTAATATGACTTCGTAGCTACAGTAGAACTTTGGTGTCAGGAAATCAGCGGGGCAGGCCCCAGAACTGTATGAATACATTGTCTATAAAGAAGACATGCCCAATTTTGTCTCTGTTGTGATTTCTTTTGTACTCGTGTATATGACATTCTAGAGTGCAGTGACTTATGAGGACGTGCATGTGTACTTCAGTGAGGAAGAGTGGGCTTTGCTGGATCCTTCCCAGATGAAGCTGTACAAAGATGTCATGCTGGAGACCTACAGGAACCTCAGTGCTATAGGTAAGACTGTGAATTCCCTTTCTTCATTAAAATGGGATAAAATAGTTTGTTTCCTTTGATGTACTTCTGTAATTCCATTGAAATTCAATGAATTTGGTATAGATGTCATACATGACTCAAAGCTTCACTGAAAATAGTAACTTACATTTCACATAATATCCAATCATACATTTTCTGTTACTCTATTTTAGGATTTAATTGGGAAGTCCAAAATTTTGAAGAACATTGTCAAAGACCTAGAAGACTCAGAAGGTAATTTTCATATAGAAGCTCTTACAAATATGCCTTTGAATAAATTTTAAAATGTGCTGAAAGTTTTAAGGAAAACCAAGAGTGTAAATAAGCACAGTGTTGAGTGTATTGATGATTGTAACATTCTAAGAAAACCATGGTCCTCGGTGCCCTATATCTGATTTGTTTTTGCAAGGCATTCCTTTAAGAAAGAGGGCATGGAAACAATGACTTAGTGTATATCTCCATTTGAAACATAGCCCTATTAGAGCAACAGTGTACAACTAGAAGTCTGTTTCTGCTCATTTTGGAAAAGCTATACATATTGAATACTTGATAAATATATGTCCAAAAGCTTCTAAGAAGGAAATAGTCTATAGTAAAACTAATGTTACTCATTTATTAGTAGTGACACTGCTAAGTTTATTGAGATGCACAGCTCATTGGTGGTTAGAAAGATGTTGTGCAGTAACCTTGATCCACACATCACGTGTCTATGAGGAACAAAAAATCAAACCTTGTGAATGCAAAGTTTAAACTTTTTTTCATTTGTCTTCCTTTCATAAGTATATAATATATCATAATAGATACAAACTGTATACAAAAGAGATACTGAAGGAAACAATGTCCCTCTCTCTCTCTTCCTCTCTCTGATAACAAGTAGAAGATGTATAGTTGATGGAAGTGTAGACTTTTTGAGCATGATACAAGTTTACAATTAATTTCTTTTGCAATTTCATTGGCAATACATCAGCAGCCTCATTCTGTAGAAAATTCTCTTGAGTATTAGGAATATAGAAATACTACTATATCTCTTGGTTCATTTTGCAAATATAATATGATGCACACTATAGAAAAAATTGGAATACAGTTAGTGTGTTAAAGCTCTGAATTCTTCCGCATTTTATCAAGTGTGAGAAAAACCTTTTATTCAAAAAGAATATGTAATCCTGAGCCATATAATAAATGCTCATACAATCTCAGGATCTTTGAAAATGAAAAACAACTCATAATGAAAGGGAACTGCATGAATATGAACAAAGTGTTAAAATCTTAATATCTGATTCCTCTTTATATTTAGATAAATAGTATCATTATTACTTACAGACAAATGTATTCATCAATGTGGTAAAGCTTTCAAATGTACCTATTTTCTTCTCAGGCATGAAAGAAGTCAGAGTGCAGAGAAACCCTCTGAATATACACAATATGGTAAAGCCTTTGCTTTAAATGCTCACAGTCGTGCTCAAAGACATGAAAGTTTTCATATAGAAAAGACACCTCATGAAGTTATTCAGTGTGTCGAAGCCTTTGCACCTTACACAAGTCTCCAAATAAGTAAAAGAACACAAATTGGACAAAAACCTTATGAATGTAATCAATGTGGTAAAGGTTTTGCAAAACACAGTCATCTTAAAAGTCATAAAAGAATTCATACTGGAGAGAAATCCTCCAAGTATAATGAATGTGATGAAGCGTTCTTACATCCCTCGAGTCTTCACATGCATGAAAGGATTCATACTGGAGAGAAATCCTACAAATGCAATGAATGTGACAAACCCTTTTCCCCACATATTAGCCTCCAAATTCATAAAAGAACTCATACTGGAGAGAAACCCTACAAGTGTAATGAATGTGATAAAGCCTTTTCCCATCAATGTTATCTCCTGATGCATAAAAGAACACATACAGGAGAGAAACCCTTCAAATGTAATCAATGTAATAAAGCCTTTTCCAAAAATAGTAGTCTTCAAATACATAAAAGGATACATACTGGAGAGAGACCCTACAAATGTAATGAATGTGATAAAGCCTTTTCTCAACACTATAACCTCCAGATACATAAAAGAATACATACAGGAGAGAAACCCTACAAATGTAATCAATGTAATAAAACCTTTTCCCAACATATTAGACTCCAAATTCATAAAAGAATTCATACTGGAGAGAAGCCCTACAAATGTAATGAATGTTATAAATCCTTTTCACGACAAGATAGACTCAAGACACATGAAAAAACTCATCCTGGAGAGAAACCCTATAAATGTAATCATTGTGGTAAAGCCTTCTTAAATCCATTGGGTCTTCACATGCATGAAAGGATTCATACTGGAGAGAAATGCTACAAATGTAATGAATGTGATAAAGCCTTTTCCCATCAATGTTATCTCCAGATGCATAAAAGAACACATGCAAGAGAGAAACCCTACACATGTAATCAATGTGATAAAGCCTTTTCCCAAAATAGTAGTCTTCAAATACATAAAAGGGTACATACTGGAGAGAGACCATACAAATGTAATGAATGTGATAAAGCCTTTTCTCAACACTATAACCTCCAGATACATAAAAGAATACATACAGGAGAGAAACCCTATGAATGTAATCAATGTGATAAAACCTTTTCCCAACATATTAGACTCCAAATTCATAAAAGAATTCATACTGGAGAGAAACCCTACATATGTAATGAATGTGATAAAGCCTTTTCCCAATGCAGTCACCTCCAGATGCATAAAAGAACACATACAGGAGAGAAACCCTACAAGTGTAACTTATGTGATAAAGCCTTTTCCCAAAACAGCAGTCTTCAAATACATAAAAGAATTCATACTGGAGAGAAACCATACAAATGTAATGAATGTGATAAAGTTTTTTCTCATCATTGTTACCTCCGGATGCATAAAAGAACACATACAGGAGAGAAACCCTTCAAATGTAATCAATGTAATAAAGCCTTTTCCAAAAATAGTAGTCTTCAAATACATATAAGGATACATACTGGAGAGACACCCTACAAATGTAATGAATGTGATAAAGCCTTTTCCCAACACTGTAACCTCCAGAAGCATAAAAGAATACATACAGCAGAGAAACACTACATATGTAATCAATGTGACAAAGCCTTTCCCCAACATATGAAACTCCAAATTCATGAAAGAATTCATACTGGAGAGAAACCCTACAAATGTAATGAATGTGATAAAGCCTTTTCCCAGCACTGTAACCTCCGAATGCATAAAAGAACACATACAGGAGAGAAACCCTACAAATGTAATCAATGTGATAAAGCCTTTTCCCAAAACAGTAGTCTTCAAATACATAAAAGAATTCATACTGGAGAGAGGCCGTACAAATGTAATGAATGTGATAAAGCCTTTTCACGACACAGTAGCCTTCAGAACCATAAAAAAATTCATACTGGAGAGAAACTCTAGAAATACAATCACTGTGGTAAAGCCTTCTTACATTCCTGAAGTCTTCACATGCCTGAAAGGATTCATACTGGAGAGAAACCTTAGAAATGTGATGAGTATGGCAAAGCCTTTTCCCAACATAATAGTCTCCAAATACATAAAAGTATACATACTGGAGAGGAACCCTACAAAGATAATCAACGTGATCAGACCTTTACAAACCACAGTCATCTTAAACAGTATGGAAGCATTCATACTGGAGTGAAACCCTGCAAGTATATTCCATGTGACATAGCCTTTTCCCAACATTATAATCTACAAACTCATAAAAGAAGACATACTAGAGTGAAACCTTACAAGTGTAACCAGTGTGCCAAAGCCGTTTCAAAAGAAGGTCATCTCCAAAAGCATAAATGAATACATACTGGAAAGAAAACCTGCAAAGTTAATGAATGTAAGAAAGACTTTTTACAATGCTATCCTTTCTGAATGTGTAAAGAACATACTCGAGAAAAACCTTATGAATGTGATCATAGTATTAATTGTCATGAACATATTTATATTGCCAAGAAACCTGAATAGAAGCAATGTGGTAAACCCTATGCCTAGCATGGTTATCTAATGCAGGAAGAGTAGGTACTGGAGATACAAAGACAGACAGACAGACAGACAGACAGACAGACAGACAGAAACACACATAGAAAGACCTTATAACTGTACATAATATGGTAACCCTTTGCATATCACAGTCATCTTAGGACACATAAAGGAGAACATAATATACTTCAGAATACATAAAAGAACACGCCGGAGAGAGAAAACCTTTGTGAATAATGTGGTAAGGCCTTTGCAGCTAACATTTATCACTTAATGTATAAAATAACACAACCCTTTTAGAAACCTCATGAAAGTAAGCAGTGTGGTAAAGCTTGTTCATGTACTAATCATTTTTGAAATCATGAGAAAAATCCATGCTGCAGGGAACACCTATAAGTGTACTCAATGAATGTGGCAAAATTTTGCACTTTGTGGTATCTTTATGTATGAGTAAAACCTTAAGCAAGTGATCAATCTGTTAAAGATTGCATGTCACAGTAGTCTTTTTAGATCTAGAAGATCTCACAATTAAAGAAATGTGTGACACTCATAAACTTGGTGCAATCTTTAGCCAACCCAGTTACATTAAGTTACACAAAGTTATTCATTCTTGAGAAGAACTCTAGCATGTGTCAATTATTTGCTCAAGTATGATGATGTCTCTATTTTGTTTGTACCTGTAAACTCACAGGGAAAAAACTCCTATGATTTTCATTGTTAAGGTTTAGATTTCCCAGTTCCCTTTAAGTCCATGAAATAACTCACTGAGGTGTACAATTTTAGGGGTTCATATTAGTACATTCATTTGCTGTAGTAGAATGTCTCTGGTATATAGAAAAATATAATCCCAAACCAGGGTTTCTACCTCACTTTTGACCATTCATTTTCCAGGTAAAAGACACATGCAACCTTTATATGTATAAAAACCCTTAATCCGTACAAGAGATTGGCTGATATCTATTCTCTATGCTATTATGTGTATATCTCAGCCAATAATTTTGTCATATAATTTGCCTTGTTTTGTCTGGGCTCCTAACTCCAATTAGTCCTCCCACTTCCCTAATATTTTATTATTTACCTAACCTAAGATTGCTTTTTCTGTATCAACTTTCTTCTCCTCCTTGTGTTTGTCTTCTGACCCCAAGTCCAGTATCCCTAAAGCCTGTCCCTCTCTCTTCTGTCCAGCTATTGATTGTTGTCATCTTTATTCACCAATTGGACATAACTTGACTGCAAGGTCACATACCTTCATTCACTTGGATCTATGTGTGGTCCTTATCTGGGGCAACCAGGTTTTAGGGTCCTGAACGTAACATCACACTACATAGCAAGAAACCAAACCTAAATATTAAGACAACATTTAAAAACATGTAAATTTCTTTGTTTCCAAATGGATATGGGAACACCATGTAAATGTCAGGGCAACATGTGTCATATGTGGCAGCTAAAGAAGGGAGTTCAGAGCTCATATCTTCAGCCTATATCCTAAAAGTAAGTGTGGGAACTAGATATGGTGTGAGGATGTAAACTCTAAAGTTCAGCCACACTGACATATTTTCTCCAGCAAGGGAACATTTCCTAAATCTCTCCAAATGAGACTACCAACAGAGAAGGACTGATTTCTCTACCTTCAAGCCTATCTGCTTGCTTCTGTTTCATGAGCCACTTCATGATGAAGAAAAACTCTGAGGGTAAGGGTTCACATGCCTCAACCCTTGGGTTATAGTAATGAATGCATCTACCAGAGGAACGGCATGGGTAAAATATCGTTTGCTCACCAACTTCTTTTAACTTTAATTATGAGATTTTTCCATGTCTGCCGGACTGGCTCAAGATGGGGTCCCATGAGAGTCTCTGGCTTTGCTGATGATGGGATGTGAAGAGCTGCTGCCTCTGTCCACGAGCAGTCCTGGAGCGATGGAGTTCATACAGGGAGAGTCCACTGCTGCCTCTGCTGCCTCGGACTGTGTCTCCTAGGTGGAGAGGGAAAAGTGTTACAGCTCTTTGCTAAGCTGGGAGGTGCCAGCTAGCTACGGGGGTTGGTGGCGGGGGTGGAGAGTGGATCTCTTTTTTCAGTGTCACAGCTCTAGCTGAACCAGTGAAGTGCCCTGATGAGTCACTGGCTGGCTGTCAAAGAAGGGAGGGTCCACAACAGAAGCTCTCTGACAAAGGGATGATTCTCATAGGCACGTTACTTCTGAGTTAGGCTAAATATGTGCAGTATGGGGTGGGCAGCAGGTAACCCCTATTGGCTTGGCCTGAGAGCTTGGGGATGCCTCATCTGCATGCGGGGATGCTACTCCTACATGACTGATGGCCATAGACCTCTCTGTGGAAGGAGCTGTGGAGGGCTGAAGTTGAGAGAGCCAGTGACCCAGGAACAGAGCTAAATGCCTTCCATCGCAGGGGTCTCTGGGATTCAAAGCTCATTCAACCAGGCACCCAGCTGTCTCTCATAGCTGACCGCCCCACACATGTCTTTGTGTGACTATGTGCATGTGAATGCTGATTTCAAAGAAATTAAACTGTTGTATCTTCCTATAGAAGAAGTTAAACTAAGATGTCAAAACCTGACTTTGTTCCTGGGAATGAACTTTTGTTAATTACTTGACCATGTCTCTAGCCATCTAAATATTTTAAAGTGTTTTATATCATCTTAATATCAGGGAATAGAAAAAAACTCATACACAAGGAAAACGCTTTCAGTATAAATGACTTGGTTATAGACAGTACATCATAGTAGTTTTCAATTTCAGGAAAAGCATCCTGTTTCATCTCTTCTTCATCATAGCTGTCAAGAAAGTAAATTGATTCCCATGTTCAGTCAAGTATTTTGGTAGAGATCAGCAATTGTAGTTGTGCCTTGTATTTTCAAACATTTGGAATACATATTAAAGTTTGTTGTATGCATGGTAAATCCATTTACAGATGTTTATTAGGCTGTTCTTGAGTTACTTCTGTGACTTCTTTAACTCTACTTTAATTGGTGATGGGCATTTTTCTGCTGCAAAGAATTAGCTCCTAGAGTCACAATTATGAAGAAGTACCTCATTGTGGCATGCTGAGGGATTTTGTAAATTCGCAGCACCGATTAACAATTCACATCATGTGAATGAATACAGACCAGATTGGTGTGCATACACCTTGGGGAATGTAGCTTGATCTAGGGAATGTTAGATTTACAAGTGGAGGGCTCTCCTTGCAGATATGTCCTTTCCACTTTCACAGTTAATTCATCTCAGATGTGTAAGACACGGGCCATTGGTTTTAATTGTGTGTGTTTGTAATGGTTCCTATATGCTTGACTTAGGGAGTGGCACTGTTGGAAGAAATGGCCTTTTTGGAAGAGGTGTGGCCTTGTGGGTATGTACTTTAATACCCTTGTTTTAGCTGCCTGGGATCCAGTAGTCTGCTAGCAGGCTTCAGATGAAGATGGAGAACCCTCAGCTCCTCCTGGACCATGCCTTCCTGGATCAGCTATGCTCCCATCTTGATGATTTTGGACTGAACCTATGAACCTGTAAACCAGCCCCAACTAAATATTGGCCATATAAGAGTTGCTTTTTCATGGTGTCTCTTCACAGCAGTAAAGCCTTAACTAAGACATTGTCTGTTTACATGTCTCAGAAGTTAACATGGTACCTAGGGACAAGTTAAACAGTATCTTCTTAAGCCATTCTCCCTGCAGAGGAATGACCTTCCCTTTTTTAAAGTCAGTATTGCTATGTGGATTTCTTTTCAGTAATATGTGTGCCTTTTGAGAGTCAATACTTGATTTCACTTAAAAAATTTGTTTACTTTTTCACCTTAAACCCCAGTATTAGCCTCTCTCCTTCCACCACCCTCTCACAGCTCCTCTCCTCATTCCCTCCTCTCCTTCTCTGTTGAGATGGAGGAACCACTCCTGTGTATGATCCCCAACCCTACTGGCCCCTCAACACCCCTACCAGGGACACATCATTTTCTATAGACACATCCTCTCACTGAGGCCATACATGACAGCCCAGTTAGGGGAATGGGATCCACAGGTGTTCTTCAAATTCAGGGAAAGCCACCACTCCAGTTGTTGGGGAACCCATATGAAGACCAAGCTGCACATCTGTTACATATATGAGAGGGGCCTAGGTTTAGTTCATGCTCACTTTGGATGGCTGGTTGTTCAGTATCTGTTTGCCTTCTAGATACCAGGGTAATAGATTCTGTTGGTCTTCCTGTGGAATCCCTATCTTCTTTGGGAACCTCAGTTTTTCCCTGATCTCTTCCACACAACTCGCCAAGTTCTATCTAATGCTTGGCTGTTTGTCTCTGCTTCTATTTCTGTTATCTGTTCATTACAGCCTCTCAGAAGTGAGGTGTGCTACAATCCTATTTGCAAGCATAACAGGATTTCATTAATAGTCTGAGGGACTGGTTCTTGCCCCATATGGAATGGGTCTCAATTTGGGCCAGTTGTTGTTTGGCCACTTCCTCCTCTGATCTACCCTTGTCTTTGTCTGATAGACAAGACATATATTAAATAGGAGATATTTTTGGTGATGATATGTCCTTATTTTCCCACTGGGAGACATGCTTGGCTACAGAAAGTGCCCAATTCATGATCCACATCTTCCACTCCTGGGGTTTTAGCTAGAGTCTTGCAATAGTCATCCTCTGGGCTTCTTCTGTCCCAGGTTTCTTGAGGACCTTGAGATTTCTTCTGGATCCATATACCCTGAATTTCCATTATTCCCTCTGCTTTCCCTCCACCTGTCCCTCCCTCCCCCAACCCACAGCTTCCTTCCCCATTTATTATCCCACTCAGTTTCCTTCTACTAACCACCACTGAAGTCTTATGAGAGAAATTCAACCAGCCTCCCTTGGCCCTCTTACATATTTCCGTTCTTTGGGTCTGTGGATTTTACTATGGTCATTCTATCCATTATTTGTAATATCCACTTATAAGTTAGTACATAACATTCATGTTCTTTTGGGTCTGGTTTATCCCACTCAAGATGACATTTTCTTATTCTTTCCATTTAACTCCATTATTTTTTTTCTAATGATTCAGTGTTCTTTGTGTAATTAAGTGACACTTTCTTTATCCATTCTTCAGTTGAGGGACTTGAAATGTTTTTTATCAATTTCTCTCTATAATGAATAAAGCTACTATTAACATAATTAAGCAAGAGTCCTCATGGTATAATGGAACATTTTGGGGGTATATGCCCAGGAGTGGTACTGCTGTGTCTTGAGGTAGAACTATTCCCACTTTTCTTAGAAACTGACAAAAATGATCTCCAAAGTGGTTCTCCAAGTTTACCCACCCATCAACAATACAAGAGTGTTTCCCTGGCTCCACATTCTCTCCAACATGTGCTATTTTTTGATTTGTTGATGTTAGCAATTCCAATGGTTGTATGATTAATACTCA